AAAATTTATATATAGTTCTCAGAGGCAATATGGGGATGTAGAAAATGCTGAGGTTCTGTATAACTCATGAATTAAAGTTCACATGATAAATTAATCTTGAGATCCTTTATTTACTATGAAAATAATGACAGTAAATCATACAATCTCAACAGGTGATATTTACTGACATAACATAATATGGATATAACTAAGAATATTGATTTCATCTCAAGATGAAAAACCATTGCAAATATTTCGAGTTCATATCTCCATTTATAAATAGGTTCTTATGAATATTTCTTTTCAGTGTTAGGTTGAAACTAAATTAAAAAGATCTAAAGAGTCAATTGCCTTCATTTGAAACCACTCTTAAACATCTTGAACAATAAAAAATATTGGTCTTTCTGAAAAATATAACTACTGGAGTAATAATAAAAATAAAAAAAAATTCCCATCGAAATCCACTCATAGAATCATTTACCTTGAAATCTTGTTCTAGAATAACATTTTCCAAATCTGTCAAAAAGTGTATCATGTTATTTCATACACACTTGTAAGTCCCTATCTATCTATGTAGCACCTGAGACCTAGGTTCTTTTGCTAGTAGATCTTTAACAAAAAGAATAAAGTTTTTCTTTGTAATTCAATTTTCTAAATGTGGAAGATTCAATGCATCCTTAAAGGAGTTTGGTGTGAACTTGGGACCTGGGCATAAAATTTAGTTTTATCAGAAGCAGTTGACTGACAGGCTAAAAATATTTGGAATATTATCATTTTTGTACAATGTTTCATAAGGTGATGCACAGTAAAACTTCAGTTAAGTTCATAAATCAATGAAAGCCATGGGCCATTTGTTCCCACCAATAATGTAAAAGTTAAAGGCAGAATTAGAAGAATGACCACCTACTCCTGTTAATTAACTCTTCCTTAGGGTTAATTAGGGGGTTCTATTTCATAATATAGTCAGAATTAGGACATTATATAGTGATGTCACACCATAATTGTGTACTTAATGTATGTAAACTCAGTTATCCTTGATGGGATCAAGAAGAAATAGTCTAACCAGATTTAATTCTCTTCTATTTCAATCAATGAGTGTTTGACCCAGAGTAAAGGAGATGCCGAATGTCAAGTTGATGTCTCCTCAATTGGTCTTAGTCTAACATACATGAGGTATCTTCTTATGCATAGCATCATGCCAACTTGTGAACATTTGTAATTATTAAGAAATCATGTGGGTCCTGCAGGACTCATACATGTAAAATATTTACAGTATTCAAGGTTCATCTGAAGAAATAACAATCTATTCCAAGCAAAGAAGAAAGTGTGTGTCTACGGTTAATTTTTGTGTGTGTTCT